AGAGTTCTCCTTTTTAGCTACGAGCTTCTTCTAGAAGGTTCACAATGGCTGTCGGAGCCTTACAGCAACCCCTTGAGGGAACTTGGCTCCTTAGACCTATTTTACAGACGAGGAAACCGAGGCAAGGAGAGGTCCATGCACAAATCCCCCAAGTGTGAACACCGTGGAAAGGGGGGGTCTGCAGACGGAAGGCGAGGTACGGATCTTGAGATGGCCCAGGCGGGCTCCTACACAGGGGTCTTTATGAGGAGGCCAGAAGGGGGAAGAGCTTCAGAGCTGGCTCGAGGACAGAGGAGGGGCCAGGAGCTGAGGAACGCAGGCGGCTTCTGGGATCGCACAGCCAGGGGTGCGGATCTGCCCCTAGAGCCTCCCAAAGGACCGGCCTCTGATGCTGGACTCCTGACCTTCAGAACTGCAAGATTAATAAAATTTTTTTCAGCTGCTGCACTGCTGTGATTAGTCAGATGGGAGATGGGAAATCATACAGGCCCATAAAAGTTCACACCCTTTGTGATTCTCGAGGACGGCAGGCTGTGGAGAGGCGGGAACTCGAGAAAAGCTGTCACCATACCCCAGGGCCGAGCCGAGTGCACCTCAGGGTTGTTGCTCCACATACCTCCGTCCAATAAAAGCACCAAGGACAACGGGATCCCTGGTCCCCTGGAGCGCCTGGCAGCCAGGGAAGAGGGGGATTCAGCCTGCTAGCCCTGAGCCCAAGGAGGGGACCCAGGAAGCCCCAGAGGGTCATACAGGTGGAGCTGAGCCTGCAGCTGACCGAGTCACACCGTTCCCCTCCCTCAAACCACAGCACCCGCGGCCCCACTCCCACAGCAGGGGAGGCCAAGAGAAGAACCTGGCGTGAGCTGGCTGGGCCATGCCGCCGGTCCCCGGGCCGCGTCCCCGCTGGGATGGTGAACCTGGCGGCCAGGGTGTGGCGCCGGCTCCTGCGGAAGAGGTGGGTGCTGGCCCTGGTCTTCGGGCTCTCGCTGATCTACTTCCTCAGCAGCACCCTCAAGCACGAGGAGAGGGAGTGAGAGATCGGAATCTCCTCCAGGTTCAGGACCACGACCAACCCATTCCATGGAAGGTACAGTTCAACTTGGGCAATAGCAGCCGGCCAAGCAATCAGTGCCGGAACTCCATTCAAGGGAAGCACCTCATCACGGACGACCTGGGGTCTGCTGACCAACGGCTGCTGCAACGTCAGCGTCCCCAGCACAATGCAGTACTGCTGCGATGGCTGCCTGGCCAACGGCTGCGGCAGCGCCTACGAGCACCGTGTGTCCTGCTGCCTGCAGCCCAACAAGCAACTCCTCCTGCAGCGCTTCCTCAACCGGGCAGCGGTGGCATTCCGGAACCTCTTCATGGCGGTGGAAGATCACTTTGAACTGTGCTGGGCTGAGTGCAGGACCTCTTCCCAGAGTGTGCAGCACGAGAACACCTACCGGACCCCGAGGCCAAGTACTGCTACGGAGAGAGCCCGCCCCAGCTCTTCCCTGCATGACGGCCGCTGCAGCCTGGGCTCTGAGACGCTGCTGGAGGACGCGCGCCACCCAGGGCCAGACTTCAATGTCCCATCCAGTCCAGGGCAAGGAGACAAGATGGCATGGGGACACTTGACTGTGACCACTTCCTGTACTGTCCGCGGGCGCTGCCCACCATCGGGTGGCACCTGGCAGAGCTCCTCTATGAAGCGGACTGGAACCTCGGGCTGGGCCCAGGCAGGAAAGAACCGTGGGCTGAGCTGGGGGTGGTGCCGGCCTCCCTGGAGACTCAGCTCGGCACCCACACCGGGGCCTGTGGCTTGTGTCCATCAGGCTCCGGGTGTTCACTTCCATTTTGATCTGGGCTCTGCTCTGCAAAATTATTTATTAGACTCCTTTGGAATACTGGGAAAACCCTAGTGTTTTATGGAGGAAAATGCCTTACCATTCTAGTTGGATATATTCAGAGGAATTATTTTTGTTGTTGTCCTCGGGTCCTAGAGTTTCACGAGTTAAATTGTCCCTTCACCCAGATAAGATGGCTTGTCCCTTGGAATGTGGATCTTCTCTCTAGGGAGTTATTTTTTGGTTTTGACAATGTCTTTGAGAGTGGGTCTCAGATACAACGGAGGAGCCCTATCCCGGCTTTTAAAATCATCTGAACACTCGGAACTGCTGCGTTCTAACCTCGGGCAGCGCTGCCAGCAGGGGCCCTGAGTGCCCCGGGCCCCGTTCTGGGTTCCCATGTGCCATCTGCCTCAGGACTGTTCCAGCCACGGTGGTGACGTGTCCAGAGGCGGTCCTTCTCCCTTCCTGCACCACTGTCGAAGGACTGGGATCTGCTCCGTGTGGCACAAGGGGGCCTCCTCCCCTCTCCTGTCACAGAAGCCCTGTGCTGAGGCCCTTCCTGGGCACACAGCTGTTACTACTTCAGCGTTTTTGTAGCAGGTATAAATGTTCAGTTTTCCTATGATTTTTGGAGAAGAAAACCCAACTTTCTGAGAAAAAAAAAAAAGAACCTGGCGAGAAGCCCTCTTCAAACAGGAGACCAGGCTCACTGCTGCCCACTGGTCCCCTCCCAGGGCAGCCAAGAAACCAGCTTCAGAAGGTTCCAGCATCCGTCAACCCCACTGTTCCTCTAGCACGGGGGCCCGCCAACCTTCCAGGCAGCGCCGGGCTATGCTTCCTGCTCGCGGCCACTGGCCTGCGGGCTGCTGCCTCCCCCGGGCCACTGCCTCCCGCAGCCCACGGCAGGAGACGGGCCTGCAGGACACAGCAGCCCGTCTGTCCCTCACCCGCCTCTGCCCACCTCTGTCCTGTAGGTCGTGGTTCCGGGGACTCTTCCTGGGATCGGCCCAAATGACAAGCCTCCTTCCTGGCCCTCTGCCCTGTCCTGTCTCTGGGAAGCAGCTCCTCAGGCTCAGCCGGGAGCCTCCACCTGCCCCTGGTGCCCCGAGGCTCTCGTGCCTGGAGCTGCGACCCGGTGACCTCCTGTTCCTCCTTCAGAATCAAGATGGCCACAGACAGCCCGCAGCGGGAGGGTGCTGGAGGGGGCGCTGCTGGAGCCCAGGGAGGACCTAGTTCACAGGAGCCCTGCCCCTGTGGCGACCTCTGAGTTTTACATGTGGAGCGAGGTTACGTGGAGGCTGTGTTAGAGGAAAGCCGGGAGGGGCTTCTGGGGACCCCTGCACGACTTTGCGACTCGTCTGTTCACTTCAGATTACTTCCCCCAAAAGATTATAAAAAACAAAGTGAAACAAACGGCTCCCCTGCCGAGGCGCGCTCCTGGAAGCCACGGGCAGGCTAGGCCGGAGTCCCTGCCTCGGGTCCCTGTGGGTCCAGCTCGTGTCCCTGCTGGGGCTTGGCTTCTCCGAGCTGATGATCTTTCCCTCTAGACAGAAGTCCCCCGGGCAGGGACGGTGTCTCTCTGTGCCTTCTGCACCTGTCACAGTGGCTGTTCCAAACACGTCACACCCCTCCCTTGATGACAACCTTCAATCCTCAGGGCAACCCAGGAAGTTATGTCCCTGTCATTGAGGAGCAGACTGAGGCTCAGAGAGGTCAAGTGTCTGGACAAAAATCACAAAGTTAGCAGGTGGCAGGGCGCGGGCAGGATTTGAACAGCTCCAGCCGTGGGGCTTCAGAATCCACCTCCTGAACTCACTGCCCTGAGGAACACGTGAGGCCTGGGAGCTGAGCAGACTTTTAGCATCAGGTTAGCATCCAGCTCAGCCACTCGCTAGCTGTGTGACCCTGGGCAAGTTATCCAGCCTCTCTGAGCTTGATTTCCTCTTCTGATAAAGATGAAGAGAAGAACCATAAGTAACAAGACAAAGCTCGCAAAGTGCTTAGCACAGTGCCAGACGCAGGTCACCACGGTGCCCGAGGTACACGGCAACCCTGGGGAGAAGGATACAGGCGGTAGATAGTAACCATGGTAACGGTGCAGCAACTATGATGATAACAAAATGCTTGCACTGAGTGAAGGATGCACCAGGAAAGGGGAACGATCATCAGTTTCTGGAAGATTCTGCACGTGGCGAACCGGGTGCTGAGGAAGAGTAGATGGAGCAGTAGAGGAGAGGCCACCAATCTGGAAGCGGAGAGGACGGGGCGCGGAAGGAGCCAGGTGCGAGCGTGGGGAGGGCAGAGGACAGGGATGGGCCCCAGCCCAGGCACAGGGATGCTGGTGGCCCTTAGAGAAGGTGGGGATCCCCGCCCCCACCCACCTCCTGGACTGCTCCGAGCCTGAAGAGAATCCAGAGATCAGGGCCCAGGCCCCGCGGCTCCCCTCCTCCTGCCTGGGAAGGCCTGGTGCCCGTCTGCTCCACAGTTAGCAGCCGTCCCTCATCCGCCCCGGGGGGGGGGGGCTTTGTGTGGCAGGAGGAGGAAGGGCTGGTCGATGCCAGAGGAGCCCCCAGTGCCACATGCTCCGCGTCCCCCCAGCTTGCCTGCAGGGTGCAGGTGGGTGGGAGGCTGCTGAAGCCCCCGCCACCCACCGAGAGGCTCCCAGGGCTGGCACGGGGGCCAGGCACCGCCGGGAGGGGAGGGGCGCGGCTGTCAGCAGCCGGGAGCCATCCAAGGCCCAGGAATAACCCGACCGCAAGACAAGGAGGCGCCGTCTGGAACCTCGTCTTCCTCCCGTGGAGGCCACACGTGGGGGCCAAGGTGTCCTGGGAGTTCTGGGGGCAGGGCTGCTGCCCAGGTACCAGCCTTCCCCCTGCTCTGAGGGGCCTCCCCACAGGGGTCCACACCTGTGCTCCTTCCTGTCAGGACACGCGCAAGCGGATGTCCTTGATGAGACAGCACCCGCCAGACAGGGTCCAGGGCTTTATTGTGTATGTGAGACCCGGGCCTCAAAGAAATGTTGGCTGAGCCCAGATCCCACCACAAACCACGGGAAACACAGAGACTTCAGCTTTCCCCCCCCGCTCTGGACCCCCGGCTCTGGACCCTGCGCTTTCTGTTGTTTGCTTGGTAAATAACAGCCGAGGGCCAAGGTCAGGCGCGGTTCCGGGAATGGGCGCCAGGCCTCGATCTTGCACCTCGTTCCCGCCTTCGAGTCCACAGGCAGAAGAGCGACAGTGAGCAAGGACGTTCAGACCGACAGCAGGTTCTTGGGGACAGCAGTAAGTGACACGCAGACAACAAGCCTGGGATGGCAGCTGCCTCCGTGGGGCCGTCAGGGAGGCCTCTAGGAGGAGGGGACATCTGAGCAGGTCCCTTGGTGGGGACAGGCAGCCAGGGCAGAGAGCTGGGTGGGAGGGCCGCAAGCCTGGCTGGCCTCCAGGTGCAGAGGCCCAGGAGGACCCAGGGAGGGAGGGCACCGGCTGCAGGGGCACAGATGGGCAGGCGGGCGGGCGGCCAGGTGTGCAGACCAGGCGGAGCCCTTGTTAGGGAAGGGTTCTGGACTGGATTGTGGGTGGAAGGGGCCCAGGACGGGGAGACAGGCGGGCGTGACCTGCCGTGTTTGTGAAGCCCACTGCAGCAGCACGGCCTCTGGGTCCACTCCGCTCCGGCCAGACAGGAAGCCGGCTGGACAAGGGCCGACAGCAGTGGACGGGGTTCTGGGAGGGAGCTAATGTGGGCTGCTGATAGGAAAGAGTGACAGGTGGCCGGAAGGGGGGGACTGGGGACTGGGACTCGGGGCTGGGTGCCCCAGGGCACACCCACCATCCCAGCTGCGTGGGAGCATCGCAGGTTCAAGGCCAGCCTGGGTGACGTCACCCGACCCTGCCTCAATCAAAACAAGAACTGGGGGTTTGAGCACAAAAAGTAAAGACTCTGTGTCCCCATCAGAGTGGACGCTGTGAAGGAGTGGCCACGGGGAGGGAAGGGAGGAGGGAGGGACGTGGGATAATGGGACCCCCAAATCGAGTTCTAGAGCTCTGGAGTCTGGCAGGGGGGCTACCGTAAGGGGACGGAAATCCTCGTCACCTTGATTATCTGGCTATACCCTGTACAGGTCCCAAGTGATTGCACCAGACCCTATAGACAGGTACCATTTTAAAAATCAAAATAAGGATTAACCCCCCTCCCCAATAAAGAATGACTCTGTTCTACTTTGATGCCGAGTGCAGATTCAAAGAACTCTTCTTGTTTTTGTATCAGAGATTGAACTCAGGGGCACTTGACCCCTAAGCCACACCCCAGCCCTGTTTTGTGTTTTATTTAGAGACAGAGTCTCACCATTGCTGAGGCTGGCCTTGAACTCTCGATCCTCCTGCCTCAGCCTCCTGAGCTGCTGGGATTATAGGCGTGTGCCACCGTGTCCAGCAAAAGGAACTCTTGAGGTTGGTTTTAGGCCCATGAGTTTCTTGATAACTGTAACTTTTTTCAGTAGATCTGCAACACTGAGAAGTCCCTTGCCTGAGTTCTTACAAGGCTGTCACCTTTCCTTAATGCTTTGTCCCCGTTGATATAAAAATCCGATGGCCAAATGAATAGTTTATATGTTGAAACTAAGTATTGCTTCCTATCACCCGGCCGATGCTCTCTGCTTGAACGTCCTGTTCCAATTTGACCCACGGAAGAAATAGGAGCATCCCGGAGAACCATGATTCATTATCCGACACAACTGCATACGGCTTTCATTTTAGGAACACAGACTAAAGTAACCTTGTGGAGAGCAGAGAAACTTGTGGAATTACGTGGCTACGGTTCACTTGGGAAATCCTGTGGCCCTTATTTCCCCAGTAGCGGGAGTTGTAAGGGACGTGGGTGTTCCTGGCCTGCTGGTCTCTGCCAGGGTTCCCAGAGCAGGTCTCCACGGAGCCCCCGGGGGCGAGGAGCAGGCTGTGGGAAGGCCTCGGCCGCACCCCTCACTTCCCCAGAGCTGTTCCACTTTTATCTGCTTTGGGTTTTGAGGCTCTGGGCTAGCCTTCCTTGTAATAATAGAGCCTGTCCCTCAAAAACATTTTTAGAGTCCTGATGACTCCATGGTCTAGGTCACTGTCTTTGAAGAGGACAGTCGCGGGCTCTGTGCATTATCGCCTGAGACGCTCGGAAAACTACAGGCTCCTGTGTCCCACCCACAATTCCACTGCCCCAGATGCTTTGGAGTCTGTAGTTTTCCCATATAAAATACTCAGTTCAAGTCAAATTTTTCCAGTTGTCTCAAAAATGTTCTTTTATGCTGTTTTACCTAAATCCGGGTCCCAACAAGGTGACATGTTCCTTAGGGCTGTTTTGTCTCTTAAGTCTTCTCACCTTAAACTGTTCTCCCTTTTTTTTTTTCCTTTAATGACATCGTGCTGTGGTCTGAACGCCTGTGTCCCCACCCCCAGGTGTCGGCATCAGGAGGAGGCAGGCCTTAGAGAGGTGGTCAGGTCACGAGGCAGGAGCCCTCGTGAATGGGATTAGTGCCCTTCTACATGAGGGCCAAGAGACCCCTCACCTCCTCCACTGTGCGAGGACACAGTGAGGGGACAGCCGTCATGAACCAGGATGTGCGTCCTCACCAGACGTCAAATCAGCCGGTGCCTACTTATCAAACTTCCGGAACTGTGAGCGATAACTTTGTAAGCTACCCAGCCTCTGGTATTTTGTTATAGTCCAAGCAGGCCAGACGGACACTTGTGGATGAGGACAGCCAGCCACCCCACAGGAGGCCACCTCCCTCCTGCCTGGGGATTTGCTTCCTCTTGACATCAGTTCCCTGAAACCCTGCATTTCCCGTCAACTAGAAGCTAACTGTGAGGAGTTGATCAGATGCTGTGCCAACGCTCTTGGCAAGAAAAGTTCCCAGAGGTGATGAGTTCCTCTGACTCTATCATGTCATGTAGGATTTCTATTGTTTTAAAGCAAAACAATGGAGTAAGACAGGAAGAAAACCTAGCCCCATTCAGGGAAGAGGAGCTTGGTCAGATTCCAGTTGGTCTGGAATTTATTATCCATTACTGTAGTTCCAGAAACCCGACCAGTTGGAGACCCCCTTGGGGTGAATACATCCTCCTTTACAAAAGGCAAAGACTTCTCGGAACCTTGGGACTCTGGCAACCACTCACACCTTAGTGTGAACAAGCCCCGTCACCTCCTTTTCTTCCTAGGTACCTAATTAAAATGAGCATATCTGAGGAGAGGTCCTGGTGGTCCTCTGTGGCGTGCCACAAGGAAGACAATACCAGGCAGCATGAGAGCCCGGGGTCTGGAGAACGGGCCTTGGTAGTGACAGGCTCGGGTGACTGCAAGAGAGACCAGATCACGTGGGGTCTGGCAGCAGGAAGAAGGACGGTAGATGGTGGCTGGGAGTGGGACCAGTCCCAGTGATGGGCTCTCAGGGCAGAAGAGAGTCCCAGACCCTCTTAGAGAGGCCTCCCCCGAGAACAAGGCACACACAACGTGAGCATTCGCTGCACACTTGGAAATAAGGGAAAGGAAACGTGAGCCTCTAATCAAACCACCTGCTGAAGTCCCTGAAATTTGATCTTGGCATGGTTCGCTAAGGACAGCGAAGGGGACATCCTTGTCCCGCTCCTTCCTTCTTCCCACCTACAGATCCCTCCCAGCAGTGGTAGAGCTCATCTATGGGCGGGTCCTCTGTGGGCCAGCCTGGCCCTAACAACCATGGGCAATGTTATTTTTTTGAAATAATGGATTCCAAGTTCCTGCGTATAAGTGTTGGCTGATCCCGAGTCCTCCCTGTGGAAATGGGCAAGAAGGGATTTTGCGTGGTCATTCCACCATCTGCAAGGTGCAGTTTGAGGAATCGGGGACATGACGGTCAACCAGACAGACGAGGTCCTTCTCTTAGTGGGAGAAGTAAAAGGAAGATGGCGGCCAAGATGTCAAACCAGACGTGCATCTGAGCACTTCTGGGATGGACCTGTGAGTTCAAGATGGTCTGCTTCCTATTCTAGGACATTCTTACGTCCCCATCAACCTTCTCCCCACCTGCTAAGTTCGGGTCCCTCCCAAGGTTCCGTGATTCCCTTGTATTCTTCTTCAAGATGTTTTGGTGAGAAACTGGGTGGCTTCTGAGCCCACCCACAAGCTCACGCTCTGGAGCCGTGGACCAGCCTGCAGGGAAACGTCCTAAAGCCCGCGGAGTCCACCGTCTCATTAGGTGACAAGAGTGACATTCAGAGAGGGTTGGTGGCTTGGCCGAGACAACCCTGTTAGTGTAAGGGCTGGACGTAAATCCATGGTGACTGCTTCCAAACACCACGTCCTTCTGAGACGCTCACACGTCCCCTCCAAGTCCATTTTACAGATAAGGAAACTGAGGTTCATCTGCCCATGCATGGCCCTAAGCTGCTCGGCATCTTTATGGTAGAGCGTGGGCCCAGCTGAATTTCCAGTGCCACTTTTTTGTGGCGTGATTTTTGGTCGGTAATTGTGGGCTCCAGGTGCTGCTCAAGTTGAAGTCGCTCACCCTGGGCCTCCTGGTGTCCGGCCCAAGACTCGCTACCCTTCTCCGTGAAGGTGCCATGATGACTGCCTGAGGAGGCTGCCTTCCAGGGTGCAGGCTCCAGGGACCCACCCTGTCCTCCATCGACATGGCTCCAGGGACGGGGACATCTACACTCCAAGAAGAGGACGCTGGGTGGGGGTCCAGTGCCAGCCCTGTCTGTCTCCCCCTCCACGAACACCTTCAGGGGTTCCACGTTGCCAACCAAATGACGGCAAGCCCCTCACCCTGGTGTCCAAGGCTGCCCCGGGATGGCCGCACCTGTCCTCCCCGCCGTGCCCCTGGGTCTGGTCAGGCGGCGGTACTCTGCACCTTCTGTCCCTCCTCCCGCTACTCCCTGCCCACAATTCTCCATCACCTCTCCTCTGCAGGATTTCCATCCCTCCAAGTGAAGTTCGGGTTCAACATCCCCGGAGGTGCCTTCCGTGACCGTTCCGGCTGGACAAGACCTCTTCCTCGACCTCCTGGCATTGGTCAGGGACATTTTTGATAACAAGCCACAGAAATTCAGCTCATAGCGTCAACACCTAAAGGGGAATGATCGACCCATGTCATTGGGCAACCCGGGCATGGACCAGGTCACCTGACCCGTCCATGGTCTCTCTGGGGACCGCCCTCACCCTTCCCTACTGTGGATGGAGTGCACTGCGGTGGGAGGGCGAGGAAGGGGAGAAGGAAGTCAGTCAAGTTTGGCTGCAGCCTGGTGCAAACCCAGCTTCATGGGCATCTGCCCTGGTGGGAGGGATGAACCTGCCTGGTGTGGCATGGTGTGTGCCCTCCCAGAGCCGTCGCTGAGCCAGGAGAAGGGGGCACTGTTCTTGGTCAGCAGGCGTCATGAAATGACCTCATGGGCGGGAAACATGGGCTGTGATTGGCACCTGGCCAGTGATGTGGTGGTGATGGGGGAGCAGCCAAGGAAGGGGAGTGTGGCAGACGAAAGCAAGTGTCTGTCCTGCTACTCGATCTTGTGACGTGCGTGTTTTGTGTCTGTAACTCTCTTTGCACGAGACCATGAGCATCTGACTCACTGGACTTGACTTCCCTGGGGACAAGGGACTGTCTCATTTCTATCTGCAGCCCCCACCTGGCATGGGGTCTGGCCAGCCTTTCTAGTTGTGCATAGAATCATTTTCCTCTGGCATTGACCTTCCAAATTACTCCTGGGGGGGAGAAGAGAGATCGGGGAGAAGCGAGTTCTTCACCCGGTCCCTGGAGTTCTGAGATCCCTCCCGAGGACAGAGAACCATCAGGACACTGTGTCTTCCTACACCTGCCTTTATTTGTTTCCCATATATTGAGATTTCTTGTAGAAAATAACCCAAAGAATGTTTTCTGTAGCTTTTAAGAGTTAGAATACCCCTGGGCTAGGGGAGGGAGCCCCACAACCATGGGTTCTTTGAGCAGTTTGTCATTCAAGGGAGCCATGGTCAAATGAGTTAGGGACATTTTGCTGGCTCCAGCCCCTTCTAGGAGATGAAGAAGGTACTCGAGCCTTTTAAATGCTCTGAGAAGTCCTGTGGACAACACCTGCTTGAAGATGTTTGACTCCCTGATTCCCAAAATGGCTCCACCATAAATCTTTTTGCTATTAAGTACGATTAACACCCTGAAGAACCAATGTTCCGAGGGGCCCAGACTGTAAACCCCTAGACAGGGACCGCTGGCCCCTTCCAGCCCTGTTGGTATTGGAACTACATGGAAAATGGCTGAGGGACAGGGTTAGGCCCCAGGCAGGAGGACTGCAATCACGGAGCAGGTGACTTTTCTACAGTGGGTCCCAGACACTCAACCTGCTGTGGAAGGTGTGAATTGGGCTGATTTTTTATTTTATTCTATTTTATTTGTCAGGGATTAAACCCAGAGGTGCTTACCCCCTGAGCCCAATCCCCAGCCCTTTTTGTGTCTTATTGAGAGACAGGGTCTCACTGAGTTGCTTAGCACCTCGCTTTTGCTGAGGCTGGCTTTGAACTCTCAGTCCTCCTGCCTCAGCCTCCTGAGCTGCTGGGATGACAGGTGTGCGCCACCAGCAGTGCCCGATTTTTTACATCATATTAGCAACAGGTGTCTAAAATCCTAAAACGGTGTGCATCCTTTGCCCGCCCGGCAGTGCTATTTCTAAACTTTATCTGAAGGAAATTGTGACACAGATACCCAGAAAGAATGGACAGAGACATTCCTCAAGTCTTGATCATTATCCTGAAAACTGAAAACCATCTTGGTCTGAAAAAAAAAAATGGGGGGGGCACCCCTGCCATGGAAGTGAGGGTCCATTAACTACAACATGGTATAGCGAGGGAGACTGGGGACGCAGACTGGGCAGGAAGCAGGCCACACAATAGGACCTAGAGCTTTGGAAGTAGAGTCGATTCCATTTTTATTCCCATAAGATCTCTGTTAGGGCTCCCCAGAGGAGTCAGGCCGAATGACCGCTTTGCAACTTTTAATTCAATTGTAAGTTGATACTTTTGCGAAACATAATAAAAATGTGGAGGCCAGATCAAATTGCTGCAGAACCCTCTAATGCTGCTGGGCTTGGTGGTGCCCACCTGGGATCCCAGTGACGCGGGAGGATCCTGAGTTCAAAGCCAACCTCAGCAACTCAGTGAGGCCCTGTCGCTAAATGAAATATAAAAAGGGCTGGGCGTGTGGCCCAGTGGTTAGCTCCCCTGGCTGGATCCCCCTGGGTGAGGGGAGAAGTCTCTAAGCGCTGCCTCTCGTTTTCTGTACTTACCTCTCCGTATGCCGGGAGCAGACGGGGTGCAGACCTCAGCTGGGCTGGCCATTGTGGCGCCTTATTTTGTCTCTGTGTTTCTGCCGGGAAGCAACCAATGTCAAGAGTGATTTTCCTCCACGTGGTACCTTAGAGGAGCTCACTCTTCTAGCTTTTCTCACCTGTATTTCAACTTCTCCACAGCACAGTCACATCTCTTGGGTCAAAGGGAGCTGCCTGCTGGTGCCCTCGGTGACCAAGGAACGTTCTAGTTTCCAGCCAGGACCTCCGTCTGCCTTTGTGGGACCGAACACCGGTCAGCAGCTCCCTGCAGGCAGAGCTGGGCCTGGCGCCTCCGTCCCTTCCTCCGGCCAGCCTCACGCTGGTGGAAACACAGACGCTCAAGTGTGTCACCTGGAAAGTGCAGCCCCAGCCAGCACCAGGCCACCAGACGTCATGTCGGGATCTGGCGCTGAGCCGGAAGGCAGGCCCCAGCCAAGGCCCCGGGCACCGTCTGCGGGCTCCACAGCGGGCTCTGGGGGGTCTTCCCAGGGTCCCCCACCCCGCCAGGCCTGCGGGCAGGAGAGGGCCGTGGGGGCGGCCCCTGTGGTTGGCCGGGGAGGGCGGCCCCTGCCATTCCTGCGGTGGAGGCTGCCAGGGCTGGGCTGTGGCTGTGTGGAGAAGAAAGGGCAGGATGAGTGTCCCAGACACCAACAATGGGGAGGAATGCACGCCCTGCTGAGAGCACAGGCTGCTGTCTCTGTGTCCCCCAGCCCGGGCGGGCTTCTGGGGGCTGGGGCAGACCATGCCAGCATTCTGGCCCCAAGAGGGAGCATGGGTGACGCTAAGTGACTGTGGGTCCCCTGTGTCCTCCCAAGTCCAGGCGGGTCATGGGGCTCAGACATAGCTCTGGGGTGTAGCGGGTCTCTGAGTTCTGCACCAACCCATTTGCTTTACAAATGAGGACACTGAGTCTCACAGAAGTGAGGTGACAGGAGGGCTCGAGGCCACTCTCCAGGCCTGGGTGGGCTGTCCCCTAAGATGGCAAAGTGGGTGAGACGGAATCTCGATAGCACCCCACACACATTCAGGGAGCCTGGCCCGTCCAGGGGCCCTGACGCCTGGCCTGCCTACTGTGCTCACTCCCGGCCTTCATCCCCATGGAAGGTTCTAGAAAGGCAGGGTCACCAACGTGCTCAGTGCAGTTCTTTAGGAAACCTGTATTCCAGAAAGGTCAGCATCTTCAGAGGGGGGTCAGGGAAATCAAAGACCTTCAAGCTCAAAGGAATGGCTGTCTGGTGGGATTTCAGCCATGGTGGCATCTTTCTCTCCGAGGTTCTTCCTGGGGCTCTTTAAATTGTCCCCTGCCCTGGCCCCATGACCTGTCTTGAGCTAGGTCCTCCCCTGAGTTCTCATCCCCCATTAGCTGTGTGACATTGAAAAGTCACCTACCCTCTCTGGGCCTCAAGAGCTGAAGCAGGTGAAGCTTAAGGGGACCAAGGCCCACGGGAATCAGAATCACCTGTGGATGGTGTGGCCATAGCAGTCCATGTGCCCCCTCCCAGCCCCAGGCGAGGTCCCTCTCTGCAGGGTGGCACCTGGGCATCTGCCTTCTGAGTGGCCTCCCAGTGATCTGACCGTTGCTGGATGTGAGCAGCCACAGCAGGGAGGGCGTCCCGGTCCCAGGCAGGCTGTGTGTGTGACGGACAGGTGGGGACACCTTCCGTCTCTGTGTGCCTCCTGGGCCACTCCCCCAGCCCAAGCTCCGCAGCGAGGGAGACTTGGCCTGTGTGGCCCCGGACTGGGGGTCAAGGCCCCTCTCCAGCCGTGTCACCCCAGACATTCCTGCCTTAACACGGGGGTTTGGGGGACACCACGCAGCCAGACCACGACCGGCTCCATCCACTTGATAATTTACTAGAAAGACTCGGTGGCCGAGGGCCACTGTGGTTATGACTGAAGTTTTATTTTAACAAAAGGTCAGAAATGAGGAGAGAGAGACGGGCAGGGTAGAGTCTGAGGGTTTCGAAGGAGAAGTTTCCAGCACCATCAGGAAAGTTTGCCCTCGGAACAGCAGCCAGGAAACGTCCAGAGCTTCCGGCCCAGTGTTCACTGTGGCTTTGGTGGACACAGGCGTGACTGACTGAATCACGGGGCTGTGGTTGAACTTGGTCTCCAGGCCCCTCGGCTCCCCAGGGCCTGGGCTGGAATGAGGTCGCTCAGGCCCCAGTCCTTCGACCCCTTGGTGCTCCCCATCCTGAACCGTCCATTAGCATCAACTTGCCAGGGGACCACCATGCACCACCTCACGGCAGAAAGTGTCACGTGTGGTCGGAGGGTCCCACCGCAAGTGGCCCACACTGGGTTCCCTGGGGAAAGTCCAAGCATCTGAGGTCACCTCCCAGGGGCCGGGGACAAAGGCCAGCTAAACCCGTGATTACACAATATGCACGTGACATAGAAAAAGAAACGCTCCCGCCACATGTGAGTAGCGGTCCCCTGGGGACACTGGAGCGAGGGGAGGGGACATTGCAGTGAGGTCACCAGGACCCCTCCCGGTTCTTCCCGACATGTGCCAGGCTGCATCTCCAGCCTCCCCTGAAGTTGGCCGTGGCCGTGGATTTGGGATTGTGGCCAAGGGAAGGTGAGCAGAAATGAGGCTTGGCTCCTCCGCCCCGGCCAGAAAACACAGGCACCCCGCGATCTCCACCCTCCATCCCCACCCGCTGGCGGAAACAGCCCCTGTGGCCCCAGAAGATGAAGGAGCCACGGAGGGAGGCTCTGAGCTCCCGAATCATCAAGAGGAAGCCAAGTCCCAAACACCCTGCTCGCTCTTTTGCATGAGCAAAAATAATCTTCTAGATGTTAAGAAACTAAAATTTGAGCCGGGTGCAGAGGTGCACACCTGTCAGCCCAGGGGCCCGGGAGGCTGAGGCAGGAGGATCGTGAGTTCAGAGCCGACCTCAGCAGAAGCGAAGCCCTAAGCAACTCAGTGAGACCCTGTCTCTAAATATAAAGAGGGCTGGGGATGGGGCTCAGTGGTCGAGTGCCCCTGGGTTCAATCCCAGGTACCAAAAAGAAAGAAAGAAAGAAACCAAACTTTGGGGGTTGCTTCTGAACGGCAGGCAGTCCCCCTGAGCAGGGCAGGGAAAGTGCCCTCTGTCTTAACCGCCATTGTAAAGGCAGATTCTTGTCCTAGGAACACAAAGCAAACACTAAATGGTTTTTTTTTAAATGACAACACACACACACACACAAAATCAAATTGATGGCTCAAATAGAGGCCCCTGAATGATTAAAAAACTGCTTTGGGAGAAGATTTTAACAGAAGGACTTTGTAACCCCGGAGAAGCCGGCTCTGATGGAGCTCTTCTCCTGGGTCAGTGCTCCCCCAGCAGGACGGGAAGTGGCAGGTCTCCTGCCGGGGACAGGCCTGACCCCCAGGGGTGAGGACAAGCCCCGGGAGCTTCTCCCCAAGCCTGCTGCTTGGGTGGCATCCCTGGGGCTTCTCCCGCTCCCACAAGTCCCCGTGGCCTGGGTCAGCGTCCTGCCCAGCCCTTTCCCATTCCCCCGGGGGTCGGGAATCCCTGGCCTTCACTGTAGAGGTGGGGAGACTGAGGCCAGGGCTAAGGCACAGAGCCAGCAGGACCCCAGCCATGTCCCCATCCCCAGTGTCCCTCCCCAGGGCAGTGCTTGGACGGAAGGAAGTCTGGGTGTCACACATATGTCACCAACCTCATTGCCCTGTGACCTTCACGGGGAGGTCTGGGACACTTTGCCTAAAACAAACACTTGCTGAACACTGTGATATCTTCCCATCACCACCACCACCATCATCGTTCCTGCTCTAAACTGACCAAGTTCAGAGAGATTCAGGAACTTTTCCAAGATTGCACAGGGAGGAAAGAGAAGAAATTGGATTTGAACTCAGATCTGGAACCTGACTCGCACTTTCCATTGTGCCATCCTGCCTCTCTTCAGGCAAACACCAAACAGTGTTCAGAGTGATGAAGTACAGAAATGTTAACCCATTTCACCTCAGCACCTCCAATACCCCCATTTAATAGATGAAAAAATTAAGGCAGAGAGACACGGGATGACCAGGCACCACAGCGGAGCTGAGGTTTGAATCCAGGTCGTCAGGCCTCTGAAAAAATGTACAGAAACTTATCAAGTTCCATGTGTTAGTCAGTTTTCCATCTCTGTAACAAAACACCTGATATCGTCAACTTAGGAAAAGAAAAGGTTTGTTGTGTCTCACGGTATTTGGGGGTTTCGACCCTTAAGGGTTGGGTCTATTGCTTTGGGCCTGCGTGAGGCAGTGCATCATGGCGGAGTGCAGCAGACTGCCCACCCAGCACCAGGGAGCAAGACAGAGCGGGCCAGGGCTCAAAGGCACACCACCGCCACTGGAAGACACCCCCGACCCGTCCCACCTCCTGAGTCCCCACCAGTGCTTCTCGGGGGTCATGCCTTTCGCACGGAGGGCCTTTGGTGGCCTCTAGGAGCCACTGGGGATCCCCAGCCTGGCATCCCAGGGAGCTCAGCCTGTCGCCCACGTGCCCTGGGGCAGCTGTGGCCACACAGGGCTCTGCAGGGCTCTGCCTTTGCTCCTTCCGCTGGCCACAGTCACCTGTGCCATCTGCCCATCTTGCAGACAAAGACCTGATTGCTTAGGGCCCTGCCCTGAGGGACACCAAGGTGAGCGCTTGACAGGAGCCAGGCCGAGGCCCACACAGTGGCGTCCTGGGACCCCCAGCAGCCCCGGGGCAGGCACTTCCTCACCCCTACG